GCGCACGCCTGTAATCCCAGAGGCTCTGGAGGCTGAGGCAGGAGGATCATGAGTTCAGAGCCAGCCTCAGCAACTTAGCAAGGCCCTAAGTAATTCAGTGAGACCCTGTCACTAAATAAAATACAAAAAAAGGGCTGGGAATGTGGTTCAGTGGTTAAGCACCCCTGGGTTCAATCCTTGGCACCAAAAAAAAAAAAAAGAGTAAGACTAAAGGGGAAGAAGGCGGCATTGGGCAGCAATAGGTAGAGACTGATGGGTAAGGAGGCGAAGCAACATTCAGTAGCCCACAGAGTTCAAGCTCTGCAGCCCTTGCTGGAGTTCCAGCTTTAGTTCTACCACTTCCTAGCTGTATGCCACGGCACAGTTTCCTCCCCTGTAAAGTGGGACAACAGTGGTACTTCCTCATAGGGTGCTTGTGAGAATTAAGAGAGCTGATGAGTGTTAAATGCTTAGCAAAGTGCTGGAAACATATAAGTACTTTCTTCTATATTTACCAATTACTGTTCTGACGTATGGTGGGAGTTAAGCAAGGACAGAACTTGTAAAGACCTTTTAAAATATCCTTCCAAATGACTCTTGATCATCTTAACAATGTGTTGTACACAAGACAGATTGTCATMCAAATGGAACGGAGCAGCAATGGCTGGATTTGATAGCAGAGGAGAGAGGAGCCAGCTCTGCCTGTGATCTGCTTCCCCGCTCTCTCCCAGGCTGAGCTGAAGAAGTCAGTCACCATCACCAGCTGTTTATCCCAGGAGTTGCCACTGTGAAATCCACCAAGCCACAACCACTATTGTGGGTTGTTCTTTTCTTTTTTCTTTTTTTTAAAGTTTTGATTATTATAATAAGCCTTTGGGCTCATTTGAGGATGGGATGCTATCTGAAGACCACCACATGTGGGTATCTATGGATAGACAGGGTCTCCTGGAAAGAAACATTCATTTCTTCCCATTTCCTCCTTTGAGGTCCACATATAAACCTTAACCCTTTCCAATCTCTTTGCCTTCAATGTTTTGATTTTCTTCCTTAAGGCATAGACTTTAGACAGAAGTGAAAAAGTAAATCCAAAAGCACATCCAAGAGAGATTCCCCGCAAGACGGAGTGATTGACGACATGTGGATGCACATAATTTGTTTTAGTTTTTACAAAACAACATTTTGGCTCTGATTATATGCTACATGTGTTCATTGTAAAAAGGTTCAGAAAATAAAGAAAAGAATATAAAATATAAAAATCATGCATATCTTCTTACTCAGCTATAGCATTAGCATTTTATGTCTCGCCTTCCAGGACTTTCCTCCTCAATAGAGACTCACATGCACACACACTTTTTATTAAACCAAATTGGGATCACAATGGATACACTATTTGTAATCAGTTTTGGTTTTCAAATAATAAACCAGATCAAATGAACTATAGGAAAGCAAATTAAAAATAGTCCTCCTTTGAGACTTCTCACTTATTTAATCAATTTCCTTTCCTTGTTCTTCTTTTCTTTCCTTCTTTTATTTCCATCTATCCCTGTTATAAGTGGTTCTTTGTTTCCTGAGACCAGCCACCACAGTCTTTGATGTGTTACTAAAAATTTCCCAATCACACATCTGTTAAGCATGAAGAAATGACACCAAAATCAAGAACTGGGAGTAAATATTATAACTTAAAGATTCCAGCGGTTACCATCACCCATTGTGTGTGCTGATGCAGATGTGAGCCACACTCATGCAAATAGCAGAATGTGCCACCTTCTAGGGAGGAGGCAGATTCAGGCTGAGATGGAAGCTTCATCTTCAAATACCGTCTTTTCTCCCCAGGAATTTAGTCTTCCTTGCTCTTTACCTTGGTTTCTTCCTAGATTCATCTTTCAGTAACATGAGTTTCTGCTTTCACAGAACATAAACTGACGTCTTGTTTATGATGATAGAAATCAAAATAGTGGTTTATAGGTAGCAGGGTGTGTGTGTGTGTGTGTGTGTGTGTGTGTGTGTGTGTGTGTGTGTTGTTTTGACTGGAAAGGGGCATTCAGAAGAGCCTTCTAGAATTCTGGATATGGGTTTATAGTTACTTAGGCGTGTATGTTTATTTTACTGCTTGATGTTATCTTTCATTTTTTTAAAACAAAATCCTCCTGGATCAACCTTTTGCTGTTGCCCATGCTTTAGGCTATAGATCTAGTTAAGCTTTAATAAATTTTGGAGACCACAGGCCAGCCATCATCTTGGTCTTCAGGTCCTGACCATTCCATAGAATAGCAGTCCCTAGAGAGATTGCCACCTCCCCATGATTTTTGAGGTCAAACAAGTTTAGGAGATGTGCAGAAGCTGGGCCCCTCTGCAAGATGCACGATGTCCATTGAAGTACTGAAAGCTCTGGGAAGTCCCACTGCAAAGACACACGTGACTCCCAATTTGATCTAAACTTCCTTGACCAAGAAGCTTAAGGAATGTTGATTAACACCTCATTCGAATCCTCAGCTGTGTTTACAAGCCTGGTCCAGGCCTGCCCGGGGACCTCTCCCTTGCCATCAGCTGGCTTGCATGCACCTAATTGGTTTTCTTTGCTACAAGCTCGGTTACTCAGAAGCCCCTATTTTTGCTAAATTGTACTCACTATCTAGAGTTCATTGGCACAGTGTTCTTGATTGGATTCCTGGTCGCACTGTACATGCTGGGAACTGAAGAACACAACTGACCAGGATGCAGTTATAAAAAAGCAGTTTTTAGGGCAGACTCTCCCACATGAAGCCACACCTTACACCTCAGTGCTGAATGCCAGTCTCCATGAAAAACAACAACCTCATCATAAAATATGAGAACAAAGAATGCACATGAGGACTCTTTTAGACTTTTTTTTTTTTTTTTTTTTTGGTATCAAGTCACATCCCCAGCCCTTTTTAATATTTTATTAGAGACAGGTCTCACTGAGTTGCTTAGAGCCTCTCTAAATTGCTAAGGCTGAGTTTGAACTCGCCATCCTCCTGCCTCAGCCTCCCAAGTGACCAGGATTACAAGCTACCATGCCTGGCTCAGACTTCTCATAAATACTTGTTATAATAAATTGGATTAGTCTGTTCTATTCTTCTCTTTCTCTCTGGTAGTGCTCGGGATTAAACCCAGGGCCTTGCTCATCCCCAGCAAGTCCAATTTATTTTTAATGGACGTGTTCAACATCTATCAGTCCATAACTCCATATAAACTCGATAATAGTAGACATATTCACTTAAATGTTATTCCTTCCGGTTCTTGAGGTTATAATTGTTAAAACAATATAATTTATTCTGGGAGAAAGAAACATATTAGAGGACAGGAAAGTGATAATAAAGTAMACTGCAATTTATTTTTAAAAGACCTTCTTTCACTGCACATATAATTTGAGAAGAAAATTTTTACCAATAGTCTGTCATRATTTTCTATTATTTTCCTGTCTCCAAACAATACATATTGCTGGCATTGTTACATATAAAAGTAAAACCACCATTATTTGCTTAAATAGTTAAAGCTTCAAACAATAAACAGCTGTTCCTGGAAACCAGGTGTGTTTTGTTGTTGTTAAGCTCATCTGGATTTCTCTGGAAGACTTCAATGCCATGAGTAAGAGCAGCTGAGCCTTCAGATATCTGTCCAGATCATTTTCCTAGGGCAAAGGTGCTTATGTTCCCTATTTTAACATTTTAAGGAAAGAAACCCCTCGTGTAACACACTAACGAGTATTTGCGAATAATTTCATTCTTGGAGAAACAGACCATGTGCTGGGTCAGCCTCCCTCTAAGACTTAAAAATCTAACCCCTGGAGCACCGTTGCCCATATTCAAAGATTGAGCGCATCAGAATCAATAACTATAAGGATGCAGATGCCTGGGCTTTGCCTCAGACGGAACCCATCCCTGAAGGTCTTAGGTTGAACAAGCCCCACTAATGCCAATAAAGTCACCAATGGAGATTCTCTCTTCCACACGGATAAGGGTCTACTTGCAGAATCCCCCATCAGCCCCCTGAGGTAAGGCCTGGGGTCAGTGTTTATAAAGAATTCCACAGGTCACAGCCCTGAGGCTTGAGACTGCTGCTCCCGGAGTTAGGAGTCATGTCAAAAGATCAGTTTCATCTGAAGTTGCCAAAGAATTGTTTGCTAATCTGGAGAAGCGAGAAGGGACAAACACGCTAACCAGAGTTAGGGTGATTATTAGTATGGGGGGAGCCTGTGAGAGGAAGATAGAATGCTCTCTCTTCCCCACCTTTACAAAGTTCACCATGGCATTTCCATGATCTTAATTCTTTAAAAAAAATTTTTAAAAATTATTTTTAGTTATATACAACCCCAGGATATATCCTGACATAATCAACAAAGCATGGGCCATGACTTCAATTCTTAACCCTGGCTGCTCTTTAGAACCTTCCAGAACTAAGCTCTTAAAAAAAAAAATACCCATGTCTGGGCCTTCTTCCAGACCAGTTAAGTCAGAATCTGTGGGACTGGGTTCTGGGCTTCTGCTTATTTTGACTCTAGTGTCAGTACCATTGCTCTGTGACACATGAGAAGCTGTTGAGTCACCTGCTATTGTTGACATCACAAGCAGCTTGTGTTCTCTCCCAGGCGCTTGGAGGCTAGGTATGTAGGGGAGATGGAATTGGCCCCATCATTTTAAATATTATTCCCAACTTCTGAAACCATTAGGATTCACTGCTTTATTCATGAAGCAGAAATAGACAATAATCCTGCCGAGCGCTTCCTTGATGTAATGGCAAAGCAGGGACTAGCAGTTATATAACTTAAATAAATTTGTTGGTTAAAACTTGTGCGTGAGTGAGGAGTAGGATTTGCGGAATTTTGGGACCCGTTGCTTGGCAACTGTACCTAAGACAGTTACTCTTCCGCACTATGTGAGCTGTTAGAGTTATGAAGTTTGGGGAGCCTCATGCAYTGCTTCCTGACCCTAGAAGGGAATTAATTCTTCATTATTCAGAGGGCTTAAGCAGTGGTCCTTCCCCGCAGACCATCAACAGCTATGTCACACTTCTTATACTTGACCCCGCAAATTCTTCTGCCCTTCAGCCCTCTCACTTCTCAAGAGTTTGAGGTGATCAGACGCAAGGCCGGAGCCTCTTGGCAGAATGAAACCCGATGGTCTAATTCCTGCATGACAACTTATGAGGGCAGTTACCGGAAAAAACAGCTGGATGAGTTCCCAGTCAGCAGACAGCACGAGCCTCAGCGTCCACAGTAAGATTCCTTTGTCATTTACACCTGGATGTGTCCCTATAAATAGACAAGAGCGCTGGTAGAAGAGAGAGGGCATTGTGGATCTTGAGAGTCTTCATAGATGTTAACCCTGTGCATCTCCCTCAGTAAATGTCAGTGGGAAGAAGAGCTAAATGTCAGTCACCAGCCGAAAGGATGGTTCCATTCTCTCCTGACTACTCCTAAAATGACAGATAACTGCAACTCCTGAAATGAGATGAAAACGAGTGATTGACTAAATTGTGGATGTTTTGTGTTGTCTTTGCAGCAAAGAGATGTTTCTGAGAATATCGCTTTGTTTCTTGTATGGTTTTTCCACTTTCAGGAGTTGGAAAGTTCCCTCAGAGGTGGAAGAAAGTTGTCGATGAAGGTGTCAAGGGCCCCAGAGTCAATTTTCTGAGTGTTTCCTGGAAGCCAGGCACTGGGATAGGCCCACGGTGCAAAAAATTAATTTCAGTTTGATACAGCAACTGCAACCACAGAAATAAATACTCAGTTCAAAGGAAGCAGATGATCAGTGTCTGAGGGCCGGGAGGGATTTGGTATTTCAAGAAAGATCTAAGTAAAGCAGGTTTCCTCCCGGTGGGGAATGGAAAGGCACGTGCCCCTAGGAAAGAGTGAGCACCGTGGCAAAGAAGCACTTAACCCAAGCACTGTTGGGGAGCTGTCAGGCAGGACTGGGTGAGCACGAGACACTTCCTAGTGTAAGGGGGAATGTGGAAAACTTCAAGGGTCTGTCCCTCTCATCGTTAGTTGTAAATATCTTCCCCAGATTCTGGAAACCTATTTGAAAATCAGTGAGATGGCTGGCTCCACCTTCAGATGTAAAGGATAGCCCTCATACTGCCCTAATAAATATKAGTTGCATTTCTTTCCAGGTCTTTCCAAATCATCAAAACAAAGGGCTTGAAGCCAATACATATGTCAGAAGTACCTCCCATTTGGGCGCCGTGTTTGGTCTATTCCAACAATTTACAGTCTGTCTTTTTCCTAGTTCGCTGACACTTCTATTAACATTGCAGTCCCTTTGCTAATTCTGTGATACCCAAAGCAGCTCCTGTCCAGATAGAAAAGTCTTCCAATACTTCTGGGAGGCTGTCTGAAATTAGATAGCGTTTGAAAGCCAGTATCCAAACAGATCCATTCACCAAGGTAGGAAAAAAAAAAGATATTTAATAGCCCTGAAAAATAATCCAGACATACGACATCTGGTAAAAATGTACAAGACTTTGAGTGTGTGGCTACTCAGAGTGTGATCATCATATGCATCATTCCAACCAAAGCTCTCTGTGACCTTGCAAACCACAGAAGGCCACAAGCTTGCGAAGTTTATCTGTTTGGAGCCCTCAGACTCATAAATAGATTCTCTGCACAACTACTGCCTGTCCCATTAAAGGGTAAGGAGAAGCAAGCGTTATAAATGAAGATGAAGGGCAGATTGAGCTCATTTTGAAAGTACTGATTACATTCTATATTTGCTTTTGTTTTTAATCTTTTTTTTTCTTGGCTAATTTTAGCCCTGAGGACAAATGTCTTTTTAAATTCCAAGCAAAAGCTGTTTGATTAAAATTTTGTAAGGCTGTAGAGAGAGATTTTTTTACATGGCTATAAGTCTCCTAGGGGAAAATTCTATAGGTGTGGCTACATGATATAGWTATGGGAGCTGATTAATGGTCCAAGGACTCTTATTGGAATAAAAAAGTGAAATGACTGATTGTTTCAAGTGTGTTAAACCAGAAAAATTCTAAAGTGTCCAAAGCACAATCCAGTACATGTAAGAATACTTACTATAAGCAGAGAAGAAAACCTATCATGTGAGGCAGAAGGAATTCGTGGAAGTCTTGATTATTTGGTTCTAAATCAGTTTTAACCACAATAGGCAAAATATATAATGTGCATAAAGAAGGATACTGGGATGGGAGAATGGAGATTAGTGAGGTAGAGAACTTGTATTATGGGATCTCCGTGCCAATCCTAGGTCTGTCAAGGTTAAAATAAGAGCTGAATTTTGGAATTCCTAAGTCAGGGATATAGTGCAAATACACACACACACACTCACAGAGTTTTCGTTGTTGTTTGTTTGTTTTGTTTTGGTAGCAGGGATTTGACCCAGGGGTGCTTTACCACTGAGTCTCACCTCCAGCCCTTTTTATTTTTTGAGACAGAGTCTAAGTTGTCCAGACTTGCCTCAACTTGCAATCCTCCTGCCTCAGTCTCCAGAGTTGCTAGGATTACAGGTGTGCCACCACACCCAGCRTGCATGTGTGTATTTTTTTGCCATCCTGGGATGGAACCCCAGCCTCTTATGCTCTACCACTGAGCCCCATCCCCAGATCCTCAACTACAAATGTTCAGGTCTTGAAACTTTGTTTATCTGCTCATTCATTAATTAGATATTCTTTAGGGTCCTTCTATGTATACAGTCTGAAGCTGAATGCCAAGGCTACATCAGTGATCAACACAAATATGGTCCCTGCCTTCAAAGAGCTTGCGGTCTGATGAGGGAAAGAATCATGGCAGAAAGAGAAACCATTCATACCTGGAAGGAAACAGAGAGCTTTGTTACAAACAGCAGCATGGTGGTTTCTTACAAAACTAAACAAAGCCTTGCCATGTGAATTCATGTTCCTAGGTATTTACCTAATTTGAGAACTTATGTCCACATGAATGTTTGGCAGTTTTATTCCTAATTGTCATAAGCTAGAAGAAACCAAGAGGTCCTTCTATAGGTGAATTGACACAGGGGAATTGACTAATAAGAGATTATAAGAGAATTTAAGGCTAATGTACAAAAGTCAATTGAGGGCTCCGGTTATGGCTCAGTGGTAGAGYGCTTGCCTAGCATGTGTGAGGCAGTGGGTTCAATTCTCCACACCACATGTAAATAAATGAAATAAAGGTACATTGACAAATAAAAAATTTTTTAAAGTCAATTGATTCCTATATATAAGCAATAAGCAAGTGAAATGAAAAACATAATACTGTTTACACTCTCCAAAAGTGAAATAACTAGGTATAAATCTCACAAGACCCATATGAGGAAAACCATAAAACTCTGCTGAAAGAAATCAAAGCAGAACTAAATGAAGAGCAATTCCATGTTTGCAGTTAGGGAGACTATGACAATGTCAAAATGTGAATTCTTCCCAAATTTGTCTGTACATTCAGTATAATCTGATTCAAAATCTTAGCCAGTTATTTTAGGGACATTAAAAAGCTGGTTCTAAAGTTTATATGGGAAGGCAAAAGACCCAGAACAACAGCACAATATTGGAGAAGAATAATGTTGGAGGACCGACAACCACTCAGCTTCAAGACTTACCACTTAGCTCCAGTAATCAAGACAGTGTGGTGTTGGCAAGAGAAGAGACCAATAGATCAATGTGATGGAACAGGAAGCCCAGAAATAGACCCACATAAATACAGCCAACTGATGTGCAATGGCGGGGGTGGGGGGGGGCGGCGGGTAAAGGCCACACAATGGGGAAGATACTCCTTTCAACACACAGTCTCAGAACAACTGAACATCTACCTGCAAAAATGAATCTGGATTCAGACCATGCACTGTTCACAAAAAAATGAACTCAAAATGGATAATGGACCTAAATGGAAATGCAAAATTATAAAACTTCTAGAAGTTTCCTACATAGGAGAAAGCCTAGATTGACTTGTAATTTTTTTTATGGTACTAGGGATTGAACCCAGGGGTGCATTACTACTGAGCTACATCACCAGTCCTTTTTATTTACTATTTTGAGACAGGGTCTCACCAGGTTGCTAAGGGTCTTGCTACATAGCTAAGGTGGTCCTCTAACTTGTGATCCTCTTTTGCCTCAGCCCCCTGAGTTGTTGGGATTAGGGGCATGAGCCACCACACCCAGCAACTTGTAACTTTTTGGATACAACACCAAATGTATGGCCCATAAAAGAAATAATTGACTTTGGTTTTTTTCAGATAAGTTTTAATTTTAACAAAGTCAATGTCAAGACAATGAGAAGAGAAGCCACAAACYGGGAGAAAATATTTGCCAGGGACATATTTGATTAAGGACTATTATCTAAAATACACAAAGAACTCTTCAAATGCGACAATGCAAAAATAAATATTCTGATTTTAAAATGGCCAAAGACCTTAGTAGATACCTCATAAAATAAAATGCACAGAAGGCAAACAAGAATTTGAAAAGATGTTCTACATCATATATCATCAGAGAAATGCAAATTAAAACAACAAGAACTCTTCATGCCGCTGGGAACGCAAAATGGTACAACCACACTGGAAGACAGTTTGTAGTATTTTACAAAATTAAGCTTTAACTGCTACCATAAGATCCAGCAATCGCACACTTCGGTATTTACCCCACAGAGCTTAAAACTTATATCCTCTACATAGATGTGTGTGGTCATTTTATTCAAAATTTCCCAAACTTGGAGATGTAAACTGTGTAAATGTAAACTGTGACACATACGTATAATGGAATATTATTCGATGATAAATAGAAATGAGCCGTCAAGTGATGAAAAGACATGGAGGAAACAACGCATATTATTAAATAAAAGAAGCCAATATGAAATCTGTATGCTTCTAATTTAGAAAAGGAAGAACTATTGGGACAGTAAAAATAGCAGTAGTTTCCAGGGGTTGGTAAAGAGGAGGAGGATGAACACACACACACACACACACACACACACACACACACACACACATCCTTTGTTATAGTGTCATATAACATCACATATGTATCATATGTCACTATACATTTGTCCAAAGCCATGGACTGTTGAACACCAAGAGTGTAAGCTATGGATTTGGACAATTATGTTTTAATTGTAATAAATGTACCACTCTGATGGGGGATGTGAATAACAGGGAAGCCATGCAGGTGTGGTAGGTTATGGTAGACCTCTGATTCATCCTCTAACTTTATCTGTGAACTTACAACTTCTTTTTAAAAACAAAAACAGTCTTAAAATATAGGAAG